CCAACCGATATTCCGGTACTTTAAACTTATACTAACTGCATAGCAGCGTAAAAACCACCCGGGTGGGAATCTCATAAGAAAGGACGGGGGTACTTGTGAAAAAAAAATTGAACATAACCCCTTAGAAGTACCAAGATCTTGATTTATGGACTTACCTTGAAATTTTTTTCATCCCTAAGAAGTAGCAATTAACTAAAACAAGAAACCACAGTCAAACCCCTATTAAGTGGCCATCTAGAAAAAACGGCCACCCCTATTAGGCGGCCAGTAATCAAAGTCCCGATAAAGTCTTTTCTACTGTTTTAAACTCTATTCAGCTCAACCCTATTACCGGTCACTATCCATTTTGGCCGATTAATAGGCTTAAACTGTAGCATTCCCGTCCTCTATATATGGAAATGCCCCCCCTCCGGTAAAAAATAACATTGCAATCAGCATAAAAGGTTAAAAGTTTCATTGCGCTAAACTGTACGAGTTAAAAACATCAGTAAGCATATTCAACGAGCTTTACACGATTACTCATTAATTAGCTGAAAAACCCACTGGAGCATCAATAAAGTTTGTATGTATGTATGTATGTAATTATGTGACAGAGAAAATTGCGAACGCGCGGGAGTATTAACGATAAATTGGCCCGCTCAGAGCCAATCACAATGACATAACTTTCACAGTCATATAAGGAATGGACCAAAAACAAAAATTATACGAAGGCAAGCCATAGAACGTTTAAATTTCATACAATTAATTTTTACAATAACTGTCTAATTTCTCGCGCGCTGATTGGCCGTATTGTTAAATCGCTCAATGCTAACGATAACTTGCTTCACACATTGGCTCTTTAGTTATTGAATGGATAGACCTTTTCCTTTTTGCTAACCAAAACAAAATCTATAATCTATCGAGGCTCTTAAATTTTTATCTAGAAAAGGGCCTGTTGCTTGAATAATCTGATAGAATCACGCAAAAATATAACAATTTGAAAGTACTCATGAAAAAACTTTCCACCTTTCCAAGAACGGAAAAAAAAATTACTTTCGAATTTCCCCGAACCTTCTCTCGTGTTTGCTTAATCTTAAGATATCACAAGCGAACGATGAAGATGCGAGAACTTCGCAGGATCACTTTGCTCGTTCATTCGGTCTCACACCAAGGTCTCGCTGCTCGCATGTGTGACCTAGACCAAGAAGCGCGCGCTGTTTAGAGGTATCTATGACGTATTCAAAAGAAATGAACATGTATTCGAGCGCATCCAGTTCATCCACTCAAATGCACGGAGACTTAACGAGATGAAAATACTTCCTTCATTATTACTGCTGTTCGTCTGTGGACCGCTTTTATGTGAAGAAAATTCCTTGCTTGGGTACAAACTTGATTGGAGCAATTCAAAAGGTAACGTAACATATTTAGAGCGCTTGAAAAAAAAAAGGATTTTCACTGAGTATCTATCCTATTCACACGTAAGCAAAGCCGATTAGTGGTTTCTAGAAAATCGCCACAGCCAGAAATTTACACTTCCTACAAGAAGGATATGATGTGAGATCTTTTCAACATGAATTTTGGGTTGCTAACATTGTAGCAAATCAAAAAAGAGGTTACAGCTATATATCGTAAATACTAGAGGTCTGGAACATAGACTCAGAAAAATGGTTTGCAGCAGTAAGTTAATCTGCCTGACATTGAGATTTAGTGAAGGCTTAAGCTCTTGAATCGGAACAGAGTCTAAGTCTCCTGTACAGCTAATCATCATGAAACCCTCGAGAAAAAAAAAACATTAACACACGAGAAATGCACATGGCGAGCTGAGCGTCTGCGCAGTCAGAGCCTTTTCAAAGACGCATTGTTTTTGATAAGGAAATTTGATGCAAAGGTCGGAAATGAGAAGAGGAAAAGATTTGCACTGATACTTAAACATAATATCACCGCTCAAATGACATAAAAGTCTGAAATCACTTTTGAAAGTAATTATGCCTTATTGTTCTGGAGTCTCCTTGTTTCTCTACGCAGTCGGAAAGACGTTATCACAAATTATAAAGTGTTTGACGCAGATTGGGTTATAACAGATATTTAAACCCCTTATGAGTTTCTTCATGGCTTACACCTTTCTAGTCTTAAACAAAAGCAGTCAATTTCTTAATTTTTTTACAATTTCTTTTCTCTCGTCCCTGTGCTGTGGTCATTAATTTGCAAAATGTTATTTGTTACCTTTGTGTCTTCCTTTTCAGAACTGTTCAATTTTGGTAGAACACCCGAAACAAAGGCTATCATTTACACCATTGTGTGTGTTTTGTGCGTATTACACGTGATTATTGCATGTCTAAAGTGGAAAAACAAACAGAATTGTGTTTTCCGTGACCACAAAACTTCTCTCAGTCAGTTGATGCATGATTCTAAAGGTAAGTATGGATTAATCTAGTCCTGATTTTCTTTTAAAATGATTTTGATAAACACAAGGCCAGATACATTTACGAAGAATAAGTTCAGCACCCGCTGTCGCGATCACCACTTAGTTGGAAACAAACATGGCAACTGTGGAATGTGCCCGACACGTGCACGGTGGAAAAGGGTAAAACTGATCACTAAAATTAAGAGGGCACGCTGAAACAGAAACCTGACACAATAAACGTTCGGGCTACACATGAAATGAAACATTCAGTCGGTCGGTCGGTCGGTCGGTCGGTCGGTCGGTCAGACAATCAGACAGCCAGCTAGGCAGTCAGACGTTCAGTCAGTCAGACAGCCAGACAGCCAGAAAGTCAGGCAGTTAGACAGTCAGAGAGTCAGTCAGTCAGACAGTCAGACAATCCGCCAGTCAGCCAGTCAGTCAAACAGTCAAACAGTCGGACAGCCAGACAGTAAGTCAGTTAGTCCGTCAGTCAGACAGTCAGTCCTCTAGGTCGGTCAGTCAATCGGTTGGTCAGATAGTCAGATGGTCAGACGGTCGCCGGGTCATTTTGTCAGTTTGTCTGTCGGTCGGTCGGTCAGTCGGTCGGTCAGTTAGTCAAACAAACAAACAGCTACTGAGTGCAGCGGAACTATTCAATTTACATAGAGTAGTATCTCAGGACTTGACGACACACCATCGCTTGAAGACAAGTCGACAAGAAACAGGTATTCAAAAATCATTAAACGCTTTTGTTTTGTCTAGTTTTATTATTTTTTAAATCGTAGAAAACCTGGATGAAAAAGCAGATCAAACCCTGGCACCGTGGAGGGTTATTCGAGGGTTATTGATCAAACTGAAGAACTTCAAACTGGAAATGTTGGTCTGGTTCATTCTGCATGATATGTGTAAGTGGTAAATTGTTCGCTAATTCTCAGAAAACGCATGGTCAGTACCAGCTTGCAAATCAGGCGCACAATAGGTTGATTAATGGGGCCGAAGCGCAAAAATCCACCTGCTCTGCAGGCTAGGTCAGTACAACACGTGCCGTGATGTTGGTTTTAAGCTTGGTCTTTCTTTCTTTTCTTTTTTTTCTTTTTCTTTTTTTTTTTTTAAGTAGGTTTAAAATAAGCAACTGTACAGCTGATGTTGACCTACTACTACTAAATCTAAATAAGAGGAACAGAAATTTACAATACAATTGTCATTGGTCTCATAGCTTTTCTTCAAATTCTCTGCTGTTACTCAGTCCTCTAACACAAAACGTGCATTGTAAGCTGAACATAATGGATAGAGGACAAGGAACAATCACCGTCGCAGCACACGCTCTAGGCCCATTACAGAGCCTTCAGAGGAGGCTCTGCCCAAAAGGGATGTGTTTTTCAGGCTGTCTGTAAGTCTGCCTACCGTTGGATACAAAATTAACATTACTGACAATTTGCCGATTGGATCCGACTGAAGTTAAGTGTCGTTTCGCGATACTGGATAGAAAAATCCCTATAAAAGGAAGGACACCAAAAACTTTGCTGTCTCAAAAATCCTAACCATAACAATAGGCAAAGGTTAATATCAACTATATCGAATGTGTAGAAATTTAGTAGTAGGAGAAAGGTCATTGAGATATTTAAAAGGCCTTTATAAATATTTCGAACAAAGAAACTAAACCGCCGGGTCGTCTGAGTCAGCAGGATATGAAAGAGCTACTTTTTCTGTCAAAAATGTCATGTAATTATGAAAAGTAAGCGTTTGGACCTGGAGGCAGTCTCCCTGTCTCCCTGTATAAACTTTGTTGGATAGCTAGTTCCACATAAAACAAAAAAAAGTGTCTTTTTTTTAACAGGACCAATAGTCAACCGTAAGTAATTTCGTTGTTTAGCAACGTATTTTAAGTTCCTTCGATTTATTCAAACCTTGTTTCGTCGACTGTGAATTCCCAAAGAAAAAAACACGAGATCTAAATTGAGAATTGTTCTTCAGTTGTCGCAGGCGTATTGTGATCAATACAATTTCACATTGTTTTTCCTGTGTTTCTTGTTTCAGTGCGTATCGACTTAAGACCTCGCAGACTGTTCATCTTTAAGCTCGGACCTGTTTACACTGTAGACGAAATCTTAGCAGACGCAACAGAAGAGCTTAAGCCATTACAAGAATTTGTCCTGGATGTTTCTGGTATTTAAGTAATACTGTACAAAGAACAGCGCATTCAATCTTACAAGTTTAAGTTGTATATATCTTGTCACCATCACAATGAATCCAGGGCCACAGACAGAACAAAATTACTACCGTGGCAATGTCCATGGTTAAAGTATCTTAATTCCCAGGTATTTAGCAGAGTCTTTACTTTCCGTTTTCGAAAAAGAAACAAAAAAAAAAAACGAAGATAATGACTAAGGCAAGTGCCTCGGTTTGCCTCATATACTGGCTTCGGTCATGGAATCGAATACTCTAAAGTTCATGTTCATTTCCAGTAGTACTGCCTTACTTCTCATGAATTCGCTATAAAATCGTACATTTTGTGATGCATGTCAACGTGTTAGCTTCAGAGAAGTCTTTTAAAGTCGTCTTAGTGCTGTCGCGAAATATTGTTTGTTTAAAGGGAGAAATAACAGATAAGACTGAACTGAATTTTGGCCCAAACAATTGCTTTTTTTTCCTACAGGAAACCCGGAGGAGATTAAGCCTATCGCAGAGTACAAGGAAAACCCAAATAATACTGCCATGAAGCGAGAAAGATCGAACGTAAAGAAGGATGCTAAGATAAAGGAAGGAGTCGAGAACACGACAGAAATGATAACCTCAATGTTTGCGCCCTGTGTTACAAAGTCACAATTTGAGGACGATTACGAAAACTTTCTTTATCCAAAGATAAAAAAGATAACTAAAGAAAGCAAGGAGCAATTCTGTTTACCTCCGGGAGGACACGAAGAAGCTATGCAAAGGTCATTTGAGGACGAAAGCGTAATTTATTCAAGCGAAATGGCAGAAAATTTGAAGCAGACGGTTAAAGCGTATTACGTGATGGCGGGGGGATTTGCAAGCGAATCGAGGAGATTGTCGGAAAAGGAGCAGGCGAGAAAAGAGGACGGGAAAGAGTTTGGTGCCTTACAAGTGGAAATGGAAACGGGAAATAGTCAAGATGATATTGTCGTCAGCGGAGCGATCGAGACTGCGCCGGAATTACAAGAATTACATTTCATAAAGTATGAGCAGAAGGTGCTTGTCCCAACTTGTTCGCCTGGAGAACTCAAAGCTGGGAATACCATCTCGTGTACGGAGAAGAAAGCGGACTCTTGCTGTAGATGGAAATATAAAGATCATGCTATTGTTGCATGCGGCATGGTGGCTTTTGTGTTTATTTCTGTTAGTGTATACAGATTTTTCAGGTAAACAGCCAGAGGGCAAAGTATTTTACAATTAATTTTACCCAAACTTTCGCCCGTTGTTTAGTTTCTTTTTATAGTCTATTTTTAAGATCGTGTGAGGGACGAGGTCTCAGGCGCGAGATCTGGAACCTAAGAAATTGCGAGGCCTGGGACTACCAAGATAATTCGGAATTTCTCGCAAGTTCCGATTGCGCCCTGAGAATAATCAATCTCACTCCGTAGCCATTCGTCTTCCTAATCCAGCGTGACCCCGAGGTGGTGCGAGAAAGGGTACACGATCTTACATGACAGGCCTGTAGTCAGTTCGCCGCCAAAGGGATTTAGGGACAAGAACGCGAGAGTAATAGGCACGGTTTCTGCTTTGAGTTCCGAAGGTTCCAACTTCACTTTTTCCCAACGGTTTCTGCAAAAGTCTGTTCATTCCAGGGAGTGTTATACGAGCAATTTTTCGTGCAACTTTTGATGCAACAAAATTGAGGCACAATTTGCGATAAAAATGGCCTAGTGTCACAGGGCCTCAGCTTCACTAGTTTTAGTTTTTCTTTTCTTTTTCAGGCGTTAAACTTCACTCAAGGATATTCATGGTGTCTGCTATTTTGATCCACTTCAACTCGAATGCTAAAGACGAAAACAGTTGTTTTAACTTGTTACCAACTTCTTGAATTGTTTTCTTGAACTTTTCTAACAGTCTCAAGCCAAATTTAAATTATAAAGTTTAAATTGTACACTGATAAACCAAATAAAAAGTTTGTGTTTTCTACTCGAAATTTGAGAAAATGAGAAACGAGTGGATTTTTCCTCTGTAAGAATTATTCAGGCTTAGAATACAGCATGAAACTGAGCGAACAAAAAATAAACTGTCCATTGCCACAAAATCGCATTTCACTTTATTGCCGCAAACTGGGTAACTAAGGCCCCATTTATATGGCATCGAGTACTGGCCCTCTCCCCAAGGCAGCGCTGTATTTAACTCGCGAAAAAGTTTCCTCTGTTGGTAGAGTCAATGCACAGTTACACCCGTTTCTTTGAATTTCTTTCAGTCATTTGATCACTGTGGCCTTTGTCGAGTTAATTTTTACTTACCGGTATTTAGTATATATTTCTACTTTAAACTACAAAATAACGGCACTAGTGATTCTCGGTACAACGTGATTTGCCCCGACTAGGCGAGCCGAAGTGTCAATTTGAGAAATAGTTGTCGCCACGGCGAAAATAAAATTTAGCTTAGAAAATTTAGAAAATTTAGCTTGGAAAGGGCGTACCCGAGATCATATAACCAGGCTTTAACAGATCAAGTAAAAATATCCTTAGGGATTTCCGTGAAGACAACTGGGACAAGGCAAAGTTCAGGGGGAGATTTTTGTCATATCTATTGCCGTTAAATTTCGCCTCGAGCTTATTATCCTAACCGGTCTCTGAAGAAAGCCGAAGGTCAAATGCCACTCAAATATGCGTTCGAAGACACAAAACTGAATTTCAAGCTTTAATAAAAACAGCCATACAATCCAAAGCGTAAGTCTTTAAAGTTTTATTCTTCAATTACAGATACATAAAGTTCAATTCAACCTATTGAATCAACCCTTTAAAAAACAAACCCTTTTAAAAATATAACTGAAGCAACCATAAGTGGAAATAAACCGCAGATGAAAATAATATTTAACTTATAATTTGAAGACCTCTCTCTCGTCCTACATGTTTTCCCATTTACTTTGTACAGTGATTATAAATTACAATGTATCTATATCTCTATCCATTTCACTCTTTATAATTTAACAAAGTTCAACTTGCTATAAGTCGTTGTCACGTTCCATCTTCACTTTGAGTACTTAAGAAGTTCAAGGAAATTTTTTGAACGTAAAACAAAGTATAAGTTCTACGTTCGAAATCTGTCTTAAGAAAGAACGTATAACATTTCTGAAAAGTTACCTTATTTGTTTCGTTATGGTCATTTCAACTCTTTGGTCCCAGGTTCCAGGCGTTCTCGGCTGAAGAGAGACTGGAATCTATAGTCGTCACTGGATAGTACCTGAAGAGAACGCCCGAGCACTGGGCTGAGATGGAACGACTTCCGGAAACCAGCCGCTTATATAAACTAGATTTCCGCTGCTCTCTCGAGACCGGTTCCAGAAGCGAGGGCTCCTTTACCCGAAAAGCAGCTGGTAATCGAGTCTAATAACATTTACTTAACCCGCGAATGAAAACAAATATGATTTGAGCCCCGCTACCCATGCCCTAACATGCTACCCATAAAAACAAGCTAGTTTCTACACATTTGACCTGTCTCAACGTGCAGATAGGTTTACGCAGATGACAAATCCTTGTCGAGAAAAAAAATTAACTGTACAATAAAATGAACAAAATAATTTTATCTAATTTACCTCTGGATATGCAGAAGCCACACACCTCATCAGAGCCTATTGTTTCATTCGCTTCCTGTTTCATTGTGTTCGTTGTTAGGTCTATTGTTTTCCCAGCCAGTCCTGTTAAGCCCTCTGAGAGGTGCATGGCGCCTCTGGATATGGCTGTCCACTTTTTCAACAACCAGGCACTGAATGCATGCTATTTTACCCTTAAAGCCAAGATGTCAACACAATGATTCTCGTTGAAGGTCTTAGTACATTTCACATAGCACTAGTTGGAAGAATCTGAGTTAACGTTCAGCAATTCACTTCAATATCTTAAGACAAACTGTACATTTATCAATATCATTGCTGGTGCACTTTACAAGGCTATCTACTCGGCAGAATTCAAATTTGTCCTTGACGCATTTCTGAAGCTTCCAATGCCTTCTGTTTTCATTTTCTTCAGACGCTGAATGACGTCAACAGTCTCGTCGAAGTAGTGAACCAGGTAAGGTTCAGTTGACATGGACGCCAGAAACTGTTCAAAACAAATTGACCAATCAAGGTCTAGAGCACCAGATGAAGGTCTTTCGTTTGATTGGTCGGTATCTAACGCCCTCGATGGAAGTCTGTCATTTGATTGGTCAATATCTGATGACCCGGATGAATGTCTAACGTGCGATTGGGTTGTATGGAATGTCCCGGATGAAGGGCCTTCGTTTGATTGGCTGTTGCGTTTGTTAAGACCTTCTGAAGGTTGTTGGCCTTGTTTGACAACTAGTAAGCGTGAATTGTAATCCTTTTGATCGACGGTTTTACTTTCAGCGGCAACCAGAGGATCCCCGAGACTCAATTTATTATAAACTTTATCTAAGGTATCCTGTGTGTTGGTCTCACACACCACTGGTTCTGGTGTGCTAAACCCCTCATCACTCCCCACGAGAACAAAATCGTCTCCTGTCGAGCTCCTTACGGGACTACTGAGAGAAGATTCACTGCTCCTCGCAGCGTCCATCAGTGCTTCCTTCATTAGCGTCGACGATTCAAGCTCAGACGTGACGGTTACCTCACTGGGCCCAGTTAACAAATCTACAGTACTAGCCGAAGACGACTCAAGTTCAGCTACATGAAGTGGGTCCATGAACTGGTCCAAGTCGACGCCCTTTGACTGCTGACCAGTCGTAATTTCTACATTAGTGTCCAACTCTCCTCCGAATTCACCCAGCTTTAGAAGCATGTTTCCTACTGAGGCGATGGCTTGGTACATCTCCTGTTCATTTGGCAGTTCCCGGAACAGCGAGTACATTGTCTTCCACAACTGAATAAAATGTCCCTACAAATGAAATTATACTTCAAAAGGACGCACTTTTATGGCAAACAAATCAACTCTGGCTAGTGAGTGAATATCTGAGAAGGGAAGTATGTAATCGTCCTAAATTGATTTGCACAGCTTTCTTCTTTTTCAGGTGTGATTAAAGCAAGTAAATCAATAAAAAGGTCGCCTGCAAGGTTATTTCAGCAGGTTAGGTTTGCATTAGTGGTTTAGCATTACCTGACTCATGGGCGGAATCTCCGAGGCCGTAACCCTCTTAACATTGTCTTCATCCGTTCTCGTCGTCTCTCCTTCGTTAGTTCTTGGTGATATGCACACGGCTACCTGATCACGTGACTGCCCCTGATCACGTGCCTGTGACGCCGAGACCTCTATGCTTCCACTCTCTGTCAGCTCCACGCAGCTGTCTACGGACTCCTCATCACTGAGCTCTTCTGCCGCCTCGTCACACAGGGCTGGAGGCACGTGCATCCGATACATAAACTGCATGCGATCTTGGAGTTCACCCTTGCAAATGATGCCCAGGCCTCGCGCAAACTCGCGGAAGGTAATCAGGCCGTCTTCGTCATCATCGATAACCTATACGTCATATTGTTGAATCGTGTGAGCGAGGAAGACATTACACTCGGCAAATTAGCTCGTAGATTTGCTTGTTTACAAAGTTGATAGGGCTTTACAGTCATAATATACTACTCACTAACCTTGAATGCCCTTTCGGCCAAGGTGGGCCCAATCTCCCCAGTCCCCCAGTTTGTAAGGAATTCAAAGAGAGGCTTGAACCTCTCGTAGTCAATACACTGGTTCTGTACGAGAGGAAACTGAGGCGGAGTATCCTTGATGTCTGGGTTGCCATGGTTACGAGTTAAAATATGTCCTTCCTANCAAGTAAAAATATCCTTAGGGATTTCCGTGAAGACAACTGGGACAAGGCAAAGTTCAGGGGGAGATTTTTGTCATATCTATTGCCGTTAAATTTCGCCTCGAGCTTATTATCCTAACCGGTCTCTGAAGAAAGCCGAAGGTCAAATGCCACTCAAATATGCGTTCGAAGACACAAAACTGAATTTCAAGCTTTAATAAAAACAGCCATACAATCCAAAGCGTAAGTCTTTAAAGTTTTATTCTTCAATTACAGATACATAAAGTTCAATTCAACCTATTGAATCAACCCTTTAAAAAACAAACCCTTTTAAAAATATAACTGAAGCAACCATAAGTGGAAATAAACCGCAGATGAAAATAATATTTAACTTATAATTTGAAGACCTCTCTCTCGTCCTACATGTTTTCCCATTTACTTTGTACAGTGATTATAAATTACAATGTATCTATATCTCTATCCATTTCACTCTTTATAATTCAACAAAGTTCAACTTGCTATAAGTCGTTGGCACGTTCCATCTTCACTTTGAGTACTTAAGAAGTTCAAGGAAATTTTTTGAACGTAAAACAAAGTATAAGTTCTACGTTCGAAATCTGTCTTAAGAAAGAACGTATAACATTTCTGAAAAGTTACCTTATTTGTTTCGTTATGGTCATTTCAACTCTTTGGTCCCAGGTTCCAGGCGTTCTCGGCTGAAGAGAGACTGGAATCTATAGTCGTCACTGGATAGTACCTGAAGAGAACGCCCGAGCACTGGGCTGAGATGGAACGACTTCCGGAAACCAGCCGCTTATATAAACTAGATTTCCGCTGCTCTCTCGAGACCGGTTCCAGAAGCGAGGGCTCCTTTACCCGAAAAGCAGCTGGTAATCGAGTCTAATAACATTTACTTAACCCGCGAATGAAAACAAATATGATTTGAGCCCCGCTACCCATGCCCTAACATGCTACCCATAAAAACAAGCTAGTTTCTACACATTTGACCTGTCTCAACGTGCAGATAGGTTTACGCAGATGACAAATCCTTGTCGAGAAAAAAAATTAACTGTACAATAAAATGAACAAAATAATTTTATCTAATTTACCTCTGGATATGCAGAAGCCACACACCTCATCAGAGCCTATTGTTTCATTCGCTTCCTGTTTCATTGTGTTCGTTGTTAGGTCTATTGTTTTCCCAGCCAGTCCTGTTAAGCCCTCTGAGAGGTGCATGGCGCCTCTGGATATGGCTGTCCACTTTTTCAACAACCAGGCACTGAATGCATGCTATTTTACCCTTAAAGCCAAGATGTCAACACAATGATTCTCGTTGAAGGTCTTAGTACATTTCACATAGCACTAGTTGGAAGAATCTGAGTTAACGTTCAGCAATTCACTTCAATATCTTAAGACAAACTGTACATTTATCAATATCATTGCTGGTGCACTTTACAAGGCTATCTACTCGGCAGAATTCAAATTTGTCCTTGACGCATTTCTGAAGCTTCCAATGCCTTCTGTTTTCATTTTCTTCAGACGCTGAATGACGTCAACAGTCTCGTCGAAGTAGTGAACCAGGTAAGGTTCAGTTGACATGGACGCCAGAAACTGTTCAAAACAAATTGACCAATCAAGGTCTAGAGCACCAGATGAAGGTCTTTCGTTTGATTGGTCGGTATCTAACGCCCTCGATGGAAGTCTGTCATTTGATTGGTCAATATCTGATGACCCGGATGAATGTCTAACGTGCGATTGGGTTGTATGGAATGTCCCGGATGAAGGGCCTTCGTTTGATTGGCTGTTGCGTTTGTTAAGACCTTCTGAAGGTTGTTGGCCTTGTTTGACAACTAGTAAGCGTGAATTGTAATCCTTTTGATCGACGGTTTTACTTTCAGCGGCAACCAGAGGATCCCCGAGACTCAATTTATTATAAACTTTATCTAAGGTATCCTGTGTGTTGGTCTCACACACCACTGGTTCTGGTGTGCTAAACCCCTCATCACTCCCCACGAGAACAAAATCGTCTCCTGTCGAGCTCCTTACGGGACTACTGAGAGAAGATTCACTGCTCCTCGCAGCGTCCATCAGTGCTTCCTTCATTAGCGTCGACGATTCAAGCTCAGACGTGACGGTTACCTCACTGGGCCCAGTTAACAAATCTACAGTACTAGCCGAAGACGACTCAAGTTCAGCTACATGAAGTGGGTCCATGAACTGGTCCAAGTCGACGCCCTTTGACTGCTGACCAGTCGTAATTTCTACATTAGTGTCCAACTCTCCTCCGAATTCACCCAGCTTTAGAAGCATGTTTCCTACTGAGGCGATGGCTTGGTACATCTCCTGTTCATTTGGCAGTTCCCGGAACAGCGAGTACATTGTCTTCCACAACTGAATAAAATGTCCCTACAAATGAAATTATACTTCAAAAGGACGCACTTTTATGGCAAACAAATCAACTCTGGCTAGTGAGTGAATATCTGAGAAGGGAAGTATGTAATCGTCCTAAATTGATTTGCACAGCTTTCTTCTTTTTCAGGTGTGATTAAAGCAAGTAAATCAATAAAAAGGTCGCCTGCAAGGTTATTTCAGCAGGTTAGGTTTGCATTAGTGGTTTAGCATTACCTGACTCATGGGCGGAATCTCCGAGGCCGTAACCCTCTTAACATTGTCTTCATCCGTTCTCGTCGTCTCTCCTTCGTTAGTTCTTGGTGATATGCACACGGCTACCTGATCACGTGACTGCCCCTGATCACGTGCCTGTGACGCCGAGACCTCTATGCTTCCACTCTCTGTCAGCTCCACGCAGCTGTCTACGGACTCCTCATCACTGAGCTCTTCTGCCGCCTCGTCACACAGGGCTGGAGGCACGTGCATCCGATACATAAACTGCATGCGATCTTGGAGTTCACCCTTGCAAATGATGCCCAGGCCTCGCGCAAACTCGCGGAAGGTAATCAGGCCGTCTTCGTCATCATCGATAACCTATACGTCATATTGTTGAATCGTGTGAGCGAGGAAGACATTACACTCGGCAAATTAGCTCGTAGATTTGCTTGTTTACAAAGTTGATAGGGCTTTACAGTCATAATATACTACTCACTAACCTTGAATGCCCTTTCGGCCAAGGTGGGCCCAATCTCCCCAGTCCCCCAGTTTGTAAGGAATTCAAAGAGAGGCTTGAACCTCTCGTAGTCAATACACTGGTTCTGTACGAGAGGAAACTGAGGCGGAGTATCCTTGATGTCTGGGTTGCCATGGTTACGAGTTAAAATGTGTCCTTCCTGGTGAACAAAAGGCACAAGTATGAAGATGAAAGGACGATTAACAGCCGCGGGAAGTTGATTAAAATATATCAAAGCTACTTTTAGTCCGTTTTTCAATAGAACACCTTAAGCATATCGTGTTTACACTCAACTGTAACTCTTTATTACCTTAACCTGCAGTAAAGAAGTCTTCTTTATCATGCACGAAATACAAGATTACATCCCAAGTACATACCTTGAATACAGCATATAACTGCTCTAGTTCTTTCTGATCAAACAGACAGGCTTCTACTCCTATG